CCAGCCCCTCAAGGTCTTTCTGATCCTGTGGTGCCCAAACCTGACCCCAGTGCTCAAGCTGTGGCCTCCCCAGTGCCCAGTCCAGGGGCAGGATCCCTGCCCTGCTCCTGCTGGGCACCCTGGTGCTGCTCCAGGCCAGGACACTGCACTTCATCATCCCCGTGCTGTCAGTTCTAGAGATGGGATCCTGCACAAGCAGCAGAGCCCAGGGGACAAACCAGAGATCATGTGTAAGCTCCTGGACTGAATGTTGTCCTCTGCTGGGTCGTAGTCAAAGACTGAGCCGGGGTTAGTGCGCCAGACACGGAGACCTGCCAGAGAGAAAGGGTGTTTCCTGAGGAGAAGCTGGAGCTCAAACAGCTCCTAGAGAGCTCGAGCAGTGAAAATCCATCATAAAAGGGCAGGCAGCAGTTCATAAATGTGCATTTCCCAAATCTACAGCACAGATCAGGGCTTTTAAAAAATTTAATCTACACCAAGTGAGGTCAGGTATTTCCCTAGGAATGAAGTTAAGAATATAAGGAGGAGGCTCTGGGCAGCCTGATCTAGTGGGAGGTGTCCCTGCTCATGGCAGAGGGGTTGGAACTGGGGGATCCTTGTGGTCCCTTCCAACCCTGACAGATTCTGATCTGTTTTAGCAGAGGACTTTAGAGCCCTAATGGCTCAAGGGTTGGACTTGATAATCTTGGAGGTCCCTTCCAACCTAAAGGATTCTCTGATTCTAAATTAGATGAACCTTAAATATATAAGTAAGAAAAGAGATGAGCTTTAAAAACACAGGAAAGAAATGTACATTTAGCATTGCAATAGGCAGTTGGGCAGAACATCATGTTCAAAATGGACTTGGATTGAATATGTCAGCTCCAACAAGTGTGAGCTGCTGTGGCTGAGCTCAAATCAACCCACCCCTCCCAGCTCAGCTTGGGGTGCTGGAGGTGTCCCAGAGCCTGGGTGCTGCTTGCCTGTGAGGTTCTCCTGGTCCTGGTCCACACGTTTCCTCTCCATCTCCACCACGCGCCGCTGGATGCCCCTGTAGCTGATGTCACTGAAGTCCTGCATGTTCTTCTTCACCCGCTCCGTGATGGGGTCGGTCACCACGGGGGTGAAACTGCCCTTGCTCTTCTCAAAATCCTCATGGTATTTCACCTGCGAGGGGAAAAGGAGACGTTTGTTGGGTGGGGTTGGGGTGGGTCCCAGCAGAGGGGTCCCAGGCTCTGCTGAACTTTGCTTTTCTCCAGCCCAAGGAGCAAGGAGAGAGCCCAGTCCTGGAGTCGCTCTGGCGTCCAGCACATAACAAACTGGGCAACCCAGCCCAGCCTGTGTCCATTGAGCTGCCAACCCCACAGTGCCTTGGGAGGGAGGTTGGGGTGTGGGTTAAATCCCTTTTTAAAGTTAAAAATGCATCTCTCAGTGCCCTTACTGTGGAGATGTGTCTCTGGGTCTCCCTCACGCGCCGCATTTCGGGCGTGTCCAGCACGTAGGCGGCCTTGCCTTGGACTTGCTTCCGGAAACTGTCCGAGTAGAGAACCTGCCCAAAGAGAGAAAGGACATGAGCACAGGGCACAAAACTCCTTTGGCACTGAGGAATGAGCTGGGCTGAGGCAGCCTGGCCAAGAAGGTGGAACAAGGCAAAAGCAGCAGGAGGTTTGTTGGTGAGGAACATCAGAAGGCAAAGCACGGGTCTTTTCCATGATTACAGGAAATTTTACTGAGGAAGAAAACAGGAAAATTTACTGAGCAAGTCATGACAACCTTCAGGATGAAGCTCTGAGCAACCTGCTCTAGCTGGGGATGTCCCTGCTCAGTGCATGGAGCTGGACTAGGTGACCTGGGAAGGTCCCTTCCCACCCACGCCATGATCTGTGATGTATATGAACATTTCCAGGATAGGGTATGTTGGGATTTGCCTCTGGACTAACAGGTTAGTAAAGAAGAGACCAAAAGTGGCCATCTCCATATTTGCCATGGTTTTTTAGACCCTGACAGAAATCTAACATAAAATATACTGTTCCTGAAGAACAATCACTTATATATCACAAACTGCTTTGGTTGGAAAAGACCTTTAAGATCATCAAGTCCAACCACTGACCCATCCCTGCCAGGTCCCCACTGCCCCGTGTCCCTCACCCCACATCTCCACGGCTTGGAAACCCCTCCAGGGGTGGGGACTCCACCACAG